CACAAAAGCAAGGCACCAGGCCTGGGAAAAGCCACCAAAGCTGCATTGAATAGGGAAGGAGGGGCTGCCCTGGCACACACAGGCCACTGTGCTGGATGTGTCATTGGAAAAAATGCTCTCCTTTTATGCTGAAAGCCAGTCTGAGATTGACATGCACATTTATGGATAAAAGCACAGCAGCCACAAGGGAGAGATTTGTACTAGGCCTACAGCTTCCCTCAAAGCCTGCCTGGCAGGTTCTCACCGGATTAAAAAAGGCTGCTGTCCATGGTACTAAGGAGTGACAGCTGAAAGCCACCAATTGAGGTTACATGGTCCCTTGATCAGGTAATCAACCCACAAAGGGCTGATTCACAGGGCTGATAACACCAAGGTCAAAGATGAAGTACTCCAGTTGGCTTCTCCCAGAGAAATCCTCTTTCTCATGTCCAGAGGCTGGACTTCTGCAGAACTCTCCAGTCTTGCTTGCACCATGTTCTACCTCACTCTGTGGCCCCTAGTCACAGCGGCCTTCTTAGAGTTCCTCCAACACACTGTGCTCCCTCCTGCCACAGGACCTTTGTACATGCTGAACCAATCTCTCCACACCTCTTTTCCAGGTTAACTCACACTCTTCCTCTTTAAGGTCTCAATTCAGTAATCAGTCCCTCAGCAAAGCCTTCTTTTATTCCCTAGTCTATAGTAGGTTTTTAAAAATGCATTCATGGACTTATTTCAGTTTGTAGTTACAGATTCAATAGTCTGATTATTGGTTGCAAGTCATTCTGAAAGCAGACAGTTTGTTTCTTTTCACTTGCATATCCCCATAACTTAGTGTAGTGTCTGGCACAAAGTAGGTGCGCAGGGTACAGTTGTTGTGGTCAGTCTTTACTTGTACTCGACATGCATATATTTAATAGGTCCCATATTGGACTGAGGAAGAGCCCAGTTCAACTCATGCTTAGTCCTGAGAAGAGAGTTCAAAGGATTCTAGGTATAATGTAGTTTTTGTAAAGAAACAATATATTTTTATAGCAATTTTTCTGTACTGTCCTAAAAAATCACTTATCTAGAAATGAGTTATTATTGTCCTGATGAAGTTAACCCAGTAAGGCCAACATTTGACCACTTTAAACCAGAACCTGTCACGCAGGGACAGACTCACTGTGGATGGAAAGGAGAGAATTCAAGACCAGGTGTCAGGAGGCTAAGAATGCCTCACTTTGATATGGTGCTAAACACAGGGCTCTGAACCTCAGAGATCCTGCAAGTACCTGGTAACTAGGGTAGAATGAGCAACACTTTGCAAAGAGCACCCCACTGCGGAACCAGAGGAAAAGTCTAGAATTGAGAACTTGACCCAGGTAATGAATTCAGCAGAATTCACCATTCCAACATTCAACTTTCCTGTTTCTTTGTCCTCTCAATAATAATTAGGATTGTGTTGGTCCCTGTTTATGAATAATTTCTTTTTTTTAAAATATATTTTATTGATTTTTTACAGAGAGGAGGGAGAGAGATGCCCTTGACCGGAATCGAACCTGGGACCTTTCAGTCCGCAGGCCGACGCTCTATCCACTGAGCCAAACCGGTTTCGGCTATGAATAATTTCTGAGCAAGGTACTGCCCTAGGTATATCTGTGTGTGTTCATATACACACAATCAATCAATATTAAAAACACTCACAAATTCTCACAATCCTGTTTGATAGATCTCCTCTCTACACGTCATGAAGTAGAGGGTTGGATAAGTTAAGACACATGTTAAAGTTTGCACAGCCAGCAAGTAGTTGAGCTGGGTGAAAACTTCAGGCTGGTTGGACTCGAAGCCTGTGTTCTCAACCATAATTCCAATGTCACACCAAATGCTAGTCAATGGAAGTTAAGACTTACAAAAAACCATATCACAAGATCACTTGTTTTACTTTTCACTTAATGATTATCTTTACATAAACATACTTTCTAACTTAAAGGAATTTTTCAGTGCCTAGGAAATCAGAGGCTTGATAGTTGTATTTTATACTATTCATTATCATAAATTCGTAATTATGAAAACAAAAATAGTCCACCTAGTGCTTAGACGACTGTGCCTACCACCTCAGTGGTACTCATGCCATGCTGTGGGAACCCCGCACCACTCCATCCTGAACCATCGGGCATTGGAGAAATGGTGCTAAACGACACAGGATTTAATAAGACCTGCCTGGTGGTTGATGTTTTCCTGAGGCTGTTTTGAAAGGTGGCCACTTCCTACCCCAGCGGTGGCTGCACTTCAGTGACGATGAGCAAAAGGGCCTTGGTTTGTACATTCTGCTCAGTGCTTAGGGTGGTCTGGTTGAAAACAACTATATAGATATCAGTGATCATCACTCTCATGATGACAATGATTATTTTACGTATGGCTGCTTTAAGGGTGAATGACACAGTCTCATTTGTATGCTAGCATCTGGCAGGCTGTCTGACATCTGCAGAATATAACCTAAGTTGTGCTATTAATATTTCCCCTTTGCATTCTCCCCAAGGCGTCTGTCTCCCCAAATGCCTCAAGAAACTTCCTTCCCCTTGAAGGCCTAGAGGCAAACTTCAGAAAACGTGTCATCTAGATTGGGGACAGCAGCAGCTCCGAGTGACAGCAGCTGAGCCTGAGCAGATTTCTGGCTCTTGGAATAGACGTAAAGGGAGAAAGGGAACCACCACCCACACTCATTCTATTAGCAGCTGCACTTCCAGGCAAAATCTGTAGGCAGCTTCTCACAGGCTCAGACAGTATGTGGAGGTGGCTCTGTGAGCAGCAAAAGCTGCCAGTCATGGTCCTGATGGCCAGTTCTCAGTGTCTCCAAAATCACCTCTACCTGCTTAAAACGGCCTTCCCTGAAAAGCCTTGTGGAGCTATTGAACACTCACCAGGTCTTTTTTTCTTACACACATGTAACTAAACTACATTTTCCAGCCTGCCTTGCAGTTAGAGGTAGCCATATGACTCACTTCTAGCCAATGGAATGCACACTATTTTAGCTTGGCTCATAGGAGCCTCCCTAGTGTGGTCCACCACAATCTTCTCCCTTTGCTGTCCTGATGCAGATAAACATGATGACAAGATGAAAGAAACCCGAATCTCTGAATTGGAGGAGTCAGTCTGGTGATGGGGATAATCAATATTAGACTTTACAAGAGAAATAATCTTTTATATGCTTGAGCCATTACGAGGATTTATTTTATATCAGAACATTCAAAGCTTTACTCTAATTATTAGAGTCTAATATCTTCTTAAAATAAAATTTCCAGGTTAGATTTAATAATCAGCTATTTACTAAATATCTCCACTTGGAAGACCTACTAATACTTCAAACTTGACATGTTCAACCCAAATGGAATTTCCAATATGTCAGAATGTTCCAGGTATTGGGATACATAAATGGATCATATAAAGTCCCTTTCCTCATAGAATTTACATTCAAATATGGGGAAATACCAAATACATAAATAAAGAAACAATTTTAAATAGTGATAAGTGCTCTTGCGATAACAGGGATAGAGGGTTATTGGGGGCTACTTGGGAATTAATGGAAATACCTCTGAGGAGGTGGCATGAGATTGAAGTCTGAATGATGACAGATAGTTAGCCATGTGAACTCTGGGGGAAGAATATTCTAGAAAGAGGGGACAGCAAATGCAAAGCATGAAAGTAACAACAAGGTGTATCTAGGAACAGAAAAAAAATTAGTTGGCTGAAGCAGAGTGAATTAGCAAAGAGTGATATAACAGGATACCACAGAGGGGGCTGGGTCCAGATTGTGTGGCATCTTCCCGTCCAAGGTAAAGAACTTGGATATTATTCTATGTCAATGGGAAGCTACTAGAGTGTTTTAAGCAGGGGAGAAATGTTACCCAGATTACATGTTGAAAGGTCTCCCCTGTAAGGGAACAAGCATTTGTAAGACAGCAAGAAAGAAGGAGACCATATAGATGAGGGCAGTCACACAGGTGAGAAAACAGTGGACTTTACTAGTGTGGCTGGTAGGAGTGCAGATGGAGAGAAATGAGTTGCTTTGAGATATAATTTAGAGGAAGAAAAGGTAGGGCTCAAGGGTAGATTGGGTTGGAGGTAGGAAGGCTAGTGAGTGAGAAAAAGAATATTGACTCCTACATCAGTTGTTCAGCTGTTTGGGTGGAGAAACCATTAACTGAGATTGAGATTTTCAGGTTTGTGGTGGGATGGCTCACATGACACGTACTGAATAAGTGTCTGACTTGAATTATCAAACAGAGGGTCAGTATAGTGCAGTAAAAATACTGGCTCAGACACTCACTCAGCAATTTCCTTTACTTCTCTAAGTTTTAACTAAACATGAGCTAATAATACTGGCCTTATGGGGTGGTCATATCAAATATACCCTTGGTGGATAGAGATGGAAAAGAAGAGTGATGGGGACTTGAGGATTGCAAATAAAGTTTGGTTTTTGATCCAGATGTTGGTTACACACGTGTATTCTGTCTATGAAAATCCATCAAGCTCTAATATTATATGTGCACATCTCCAAATGAGATTCTATACAAAAAGTTCCCAGTGCAGTGCTTAGAACTCAATAAATGGCAGCCATTATTATGATACAATAAAAATCATGATGCATACCTGCGGTCCATGCTGTCCAGACAGGCCATTGAAGAATACTTCAATAAGAGGAAGAAACCCTTAACTGAAGTCTAGGGTCCTATCTTATAGTTGATAAAGTCACATCTAGTTTTAATTCAAGACACACAAATGCGTCTGTATGAAGGAATTGATTCAGAGTTCCAATCCAGAGCTCGTTCTGGCCCACAACTTGTAACTCAATGCTTCCCCAATGTTGTTAGGATGAAAGAGCGCCACAGATGCCAATGTAATTTAAAAGACGACAGTTTTCCACAAGTGCTAGGTGTTTAGTTATGACAGCTCCTTTCATTCCACTTTTGCCCAAGCCTGCTCTTACCTGAATACTCCTAATTCAAGCCAATTGGTTATTGGCCCCAAGGAAAGGATACTAAAACTTTGATTGGTTATTTCAAAGTTCCATAGGTTAATCCTCAGGTCATCAGCTGACATGTAGGTTTCATAGTCGCTGTTGACCGATATGGAGTTGATATGATATGTGTGTGCGTTGGCAAATACTCTTCGCGGGGTGGCCTCCACCATTAGGTCCATGGGTCTGAGGACAGGCACCTGGGAAACAAGAGAAATACATCCTTTTAGGACCAACGCTCTGCACTAGGAAAAGAGCAAGCATGTTTATGTCCCTTATGTTCACACATAAAACCATAAGCACATCAGAAAGAGCTCCAAGAGAAGGAGACATAAATCACGCTGTTCCTGTTCCCTTCTGTTTCTTTTAGTTTTACTCTTTTCTAAAAAATGTCACCATCACTTAGGCCAGAGAGGTTAAGTAATTTATGTAAAGTCACACAGCTTGTGCTCATGCCTGGCACTCCTCGTCTCTGGAGTCTGAGACCTTAGTCGCTCCATATTCTAGGCCCTGGAAGAATGCACTTGGGACATGGGAGACTAAATAGACATGTCATGCCAGTGATTTGTGCTGTGATGGAGGTCAGTAGGCACTGTCCAGGCAATGTTGGTCAGACAGGTCCTGTGTCAACCTGGGGAGGTCAAGGGAGCTGTCAAAAAGGTGAGACTACTAAACAAGGCAGGACCTGAAGGGTTTGTGGGAATCTACCAGGCAGAAGTGGGGGGTGGGGAGGAGAGAGCTGTGCTCTAGTCAGAGGGTTCAGCTTGTGCAAAATCTCTGAGGGGAGAGTGCAAAGTATATATGGGTAAATGTGAGACTCCTGTGTTCTGGGCCTGGGAGTTAGTGATTAATTATTCACTCAATAAATATTCACTAAATCACTCCTTTGTATCAGACATGATGGAAACCTGAGTTGGGTAAGGGGGTAGAGAATAGACGGTGTGCTAGTGAGGTGGGGTGGTCATAGAAGGCCTCTCAGGGCGTGGCATTTGAGTATAGGCCTGAATGCAGTGAGGGAGGGAGCCATGTTGCTCTCTAGGGAAGAGCATTCTAGGCAGAGGAAACAGCAAGTGCAAAGGCCCTGGGGTAGGAGCATGCTTAGAGTGTAGGAAAAACAGTGAGAGAAGTGAGGAAGGAAGGATTCTGGTAGGAGAAGATGTGGGCTCACAGTCAGGGCTGGATCACAGATGTTACTGGGAATATAAGGAAGGCTCACAGAGTCCCTGGTAGCTGTCCATTACTGACCCCCCTTCCTGTTAAGGCATTCCCTCCTTCTTGTGTCTCTTCCTTACCTCTCCACCCCTTCTGTCTCTCCCCACCCCTTTCATTCTTCCTCCCTCAGCTTCTTTCTCATTATCTTTGCTATCTCCCCTCCTGGGAAATCCAAGATCATCTTTCACTTCCCAGAACCTATTTACTAACAAAATGAATGTTGCTGTCACATGGCTTATTTGGTGACCACGCTAGCGATTCTTCACAATTTTCCACAGCAGCTACATGGGTGTCGGCCTTGGGTCAGAGAAACCCCCTTCAGGCACACAGTGAAAGCTGAGCTGCATCATGGAGCCCCCCGGTTTAGATGATGTCTGTGAAAACGCACAGCAGGGAGAGGCTAGAGGTGAGGACTCAAGCGCCCTCCTGCACTGACTCTTCATAGAGGAAAAACAACAGCTGTGTTTCCCATGGCAACCTCCAGCGCCCCAGTTAAGTCCACAGATTCAAGGCAAGACTCTGAGAGAGGGAAGATGGCCAGAAAGGAGTGAAGAACAGAAAGAACATGGAGTTGGAGGAGGAAAAGAGAGAGATGGCCATCTGTGGAAGCACGTGATAGATTTGTAGCTGTTCAGTAACCTTGGGCAAACACTTGAAAACCAGGGTTAAGTACAATCAACGTAATCAACATTGTGGGGTCTTTTAAAAAAATGCTCTCAATTTAAATCCATGCTTGCTCCATAGCTCCTTGTCAGAGTTCAACAGCTGTTCCCCACCACGCTCCCTAAATAACTGAGATTACTTTATATTGAGACTAATAGGATCTGCTAAAGTCATGAGGTTAGGTGGGCTCCATGTCATCAATTAGGAAATACATACAGGAATGTATGACCTCACAGTGACCCCCAGATAAAAACTTCAGTAAACATTTATTGAGCATTTACTACATGCGGGCCAGTCACCATACAGAGTATCCTGAAGAAGCTTAGGAAATACACAGCCCCACACTTCTTGTTCCTTTTCATAACCAGCCCCTTTGGGAAGCTGCAGCGTGGCTGTTTGATGGAGAAAAGCAACAAGAGAGCTGTCCACCTCCTCCTGGGCACCAGGAAACCCGGCAGCGGTGCTCTGGGTCCACAGGCTTGAGGCCTGGTGGAGAATATGGGCACCTTACACTATCCCATCAACGGCCCTAAATGGAGAGCAGGTAGAGAGGCTAGATAGAAAGTTCCAGAGTCCAGCCTCACTTCAGGTTTGCCATCTTGCCCTTCCCTGGGCTTCCTTCAACGAACATCCTTCGTGACTCTCAATGACAATTACTGTGGTTTGGAATAAAGCCAAGAGCTAAACAGCACCAGACTTCATTGTCAAGGAAGAGAGAGTGAGTCACCTTGCAAATGGGGGCAACATCGGGTCTGGCTTGTCAATATCCCTGTTCCAAAGCAACACGGCTCAGCGGTACCAAGCAGCCCTTTCAAACAGGCGTATGTGATGACGTCCTAAGGACTATCTGAAACAGTTTTAAAGGAAACTTTCCCCATTTCTAACTTCCGTACATGTTTCTTCCTAAAATCAAATCATCGAAGGAGATAGCCACAGCCTAGGTTCTCCTGCCCTTTGCAAAAGAATGACAGGAGGCCGACCCTTACCCATCCGGAACCTTACTACGGTGCACTGTCCAAGATATAAATACTTCTGGGAGGGACAATTGGGCGGTACCGTCAATCAAGGCCCCACAAATGCCCCGACCCCTACCTCATTATAATATGAAATTCTAATAAAGTTTTACTTTTTATGTTTAATCATTACTTGTCAGAATTATATGTCAGTGTTATTTCAGTGAATTGTGCTCTATTAATTTTAAAGAAATTATATACACAAAATTTTAAACTCTTATAGTCATATATACATGGGAGGAAATTCTATTTGTTGTAAAATGATCAAAAAAGCTCCTAACATTTCTTTCAGGGGAAGTATGTTTAAATGGAAATGCATGTTTAAAGAAGACAAAGGAGGAATATAAGGTTCTTTTAAATAACTTGTTCAGATATTTTTTTTATGGATATTGGTGGGTATCTAGTTATGATGGTATTTAAATTTCTTTGCATGCATTAAAAGGTGATATAACAGTTTTATTCCTAACTGCCTATGTTCCATATACTCGTAAAACCACATTCTCTGTAACTACTTAACATCACAACGGAAATGCTTATTTGCCTATATAAAAATGCTCAGGAAAGTACACGGCTTTTCAAACTTCTTCTAGGGGGTACACAGGTACAACATGTGAAGCTGTGATGGTGTAAGAGAATTTTTGGAGCCAGCAGAGCTGGGCTTGAATCCTGGCTGGAGCACTTACTGGCCACATGGCCTTGGGGTGTCACTTCCCCTTTCTCCATGTCAGTGTTCCCTTCTGCAATGTTAGAGAGAGCAACTCGCTCAGTAGCTTTGCTGAGAAAACTGAGCACAGGGCCTGATACAAACCATCTAACCAAGAAACACTGATGGAGAACTTACTCTGCCACAATTATGCCAGCACTTTTCCATGTTATTAAATCTCCACAATGACTTTAAGAGGAAGGTACAAATACTGTTCCTACTTTACAGATGTGGATCCTGAAGCAAAGAAGGTCATGACACTTACTCAAGGTCATACAACCCCTAAGCTGTGGAGCTGCCCTTGAACTTGGCAATCTGGCTCCAGCGCCTATGATAACTGTTATTAGAATTTGTACCATTAACTTCCAATTATGGAGAAATGGTCCCTTTTGAGAGATTGCCTAGGGAAGATTTTTCTGACTTTTTTCTATTGGCTACGGGGTTTAGGCACCCCTTCCATCCAACCAGGGAATTCTGACATGATTACAGAACGTAGCAGTAAGTTCTATAACAGCCTCTCTAACATAGCATCCCAACATTGTATCCCTCAGGAAAAGGGCTAGTAGAATGATTGGTCACTGGGTAGCAATTAGCTACATTGAGAAAAAAACAAAGCAAGCTGCTGGCTTTTCTGGTTAGGAAAATAGCTTCTGTCCACACACTGTCAGGAAAACCTTGAACAATATGGTCGTTCATCCAATTATCAAACCAACCTGGGGGGCAGAGTCTGGCGTTGCGTGTACCCATTATTAAAGGGTAATTCAGTGTAACAAACCACATCGAGTATGTACAAAGGCTGTCAAATAAAATAAACCACTAACAAATTCAATTACTTCCCATCTTCAGTGGGAAGAATGCCAGTCATTTTTCATTTTTTAAAATATGCATCTTCATTCCATTTTTTTAAAAAAACACACACACGAAAAGAAGCATTTCAAGGCCTTGTGCTGTCTGTACTGAGGTTGCGTTTCTAGAGGCACATCCCCAGGTCCTGGGGTGTCTCCTCTTGGGGAATTAATGAAGCGTCAGGGAATTAACAAGCATCAAAAAACATGTTCCCTCCATGGATCAATGGTGGATGGAGTTCAAAAAGCAGGCGTGATAGGTTGGCTCCGGCTTCCTGCCACACATCCGAGCTGTTGTTTGCAGAATGAAACTGCCACTCAGCAGCACCGCGCCAAAACACCCGGGAAGCCCATCCAAATCATAGACCTTTCAGATTTCCCCGATCACACCCTTCACCAGCCTCAAGAGGCCCTCGGTTCCTTCTGTTACTGCCTTTGTCACAGAGACGGAAATAAGCCTGAGAGGAAAACCCCCTTCAGACCAAGCGAGGCTTTGTGCTTCAGGTTCTTAAATACCTTACAATGATATTCTTTCACTCGACAAGCATTTATTAAGGGCCAATCACTGCTCTAGATGGCACATGACAGAGTGAGCGAAACAGATGAGGGCTGGCACTTATAGTCTCATGGGGAGGAAAGGCATTTGTGTCTCAAGGTGGATATATTGTTAGAGACTTTGACTGATGCTATAACGAGAGGTAGGTCCGTTGCTTCAATAGAGGAGAAGATATTGTTTCATTTGAAAAGGTAGGGGCTCTAATTGA